CCCCCAACCGGGCCCCCAACCGGGCCCCCAACCGGGCCCCCAACCGGGCCCCCCAACCGGGGCCCCCAACCGGGCCCCCAACCGGGCCCTCCAACCGGGCCCCCAACCGGGCCCCCAACCGGGGCCCCAACCGGGGCCCCAACCGGGGCCCCCATAACCAACGCCCTAACTCACCCCCATATGCCCTATAAATTTATCATAATTGTCAGTTTTAATTGTTAATTGTTAATCAAAAACATTAAAAAGATTGAAAATTGATTAATTGTTAATTGTAGATATTTGTGATTAACGATTGATCAATTGTTAGTTGCGAGAACCGCAATTGCTGTTTCGCAATTGACAATTAATTAATTGTAATCTTTAATTGCCAGAACAATTAAATTTTGCCCAACACTGATGGTGGACCGCTTCGATTGCTAACTTTTGCGATTATTAATTTTTCATTTTGCAAAAATGATCCAAAATGTGTAAAAAGTGTATACTAATTGTTTTATTTTAATCAAATGAATATAATTGCATTTTTAAGAATTTTAAGTAATCTCGGTTAATATTGTCCTATGTTTTGAACTATAATAACACTACATTCCAACACAACTTTATAATTTTCTACAGTAATAAAAATTGCGTACTTAACTCAGATTTTTCGCTAAAAAAATACAATTATTTGACATTATTCGGATGCATTAAAATATATTTAAAAATTATTTTTCTTCATTTTTGTTTGACTAAATTGAAGACTTAACTACTGAAGACTGAAGTAGTTGCTTCAAGAGTTATTTTGTTTTACTACGAGGTTTTCATTATTTTATTATTATTTTTACTATTTCAAGTTTACCTACAAATAAAAAAAAAGAATGGTTGGAAATCATACCACCGTATAATAGTGCCAAATATAAATATTGAATCAAAAACCATCTTCATTTATTCGCTTCATTTTGAAGAGTCAAATTTTAACATAACTTTGATGAATGACTTATCGATAGATTATGGTACGACACTAAAGAAATCCGCCATTTGTTCGTTCAATTTTTGTTCGTTTTATTTTACAATACCCAAAACAAAACATTTCCAAAATAATTCGCACGTTATGTGCGGAAAATTTTTTAATCGTATACCAGATCACTTTAAGCTTCTTCCATTGACTAGTTTCAAAAAGGAATTGCGTAGGTGGCTCTTTGATCATTTGTTCTGCTCAGTTGACGAATTCATGAAATATAAGGACTAATTAATTGATGCATACATTTTTCTATACAATTATTATTATTTGCTTTAAATTAGGACATACACGATTATATCATCTCGTATTAAATCAAATAAGTTTAATTTATCAATTTATTGTGTG